CATCAAGGCCAGGTTCAGTGCCTATAAGAGCTCGGGAGAAGACCTTGTGAGGACAACAGCTCCAAAACTAGACCACAGATCCACAAATCTTTGATACACGAGACCGTCAGAAGACAGAATATACTTCAGTAAACCTRSACTATTCCTGTATTTAGCAAACATGCCGAAGAACAAGTCAAAAAGGGTAAGGTTTCTAAACAGGAAACATGTTTTTTAGTGTTACACTTTACACGATTTTATTTTATTTTTCCATTGTTTGTCTCAAACTCTGAAAATATTTTTCTGCGAGGGGATGGACTTTAAACAAACCCATCACATTGGTGCTAACGCTAGAATGCCAGCATTAGCATACTAGTGATTTTTTTTAATTTGTGTGTGCACCGTGTGGTGAAATCTCTCGCAAGTCACGTAATTTGTGTGGACGAGCCACTGAAACGTTAGTTGAGAAGAGGGAAATGACTTACAACCTTATTTCCACCAACGCTGGACAAGAACTCCATCAGAGGAGTTCACAGCGAGAGGAGAAAAACTTGTTTACTTTCGGTTTCTGACCAGCACGTGTACACACACACACACACACACACACACACACACACACACACACACAATAAACGTCCCATACAGATATACTGCTTATGATGACAGGATACACAAATTCACCGACCAACCTTCCACAATAAGGCAACTAAATGAAACAGCTTACATAAATTACTTTTAAATAGCCAAATGTTACACTATAAAAACTAACTGGATATAGTTGATAATAATAATAAATATTGTAGTTAATTAGCTATACTATTAGCTATGTATTGTTTGTTTTTCATTTAATCAATAATCGTGTAAATCGTGAAACCGTGATATTTCCTCTGACAATAATCGGCACCAAAATTTCATATCGTGACATCCCTAGTATGTAGAGACTGTATTTAACAGAATTGAAGAAACTGTATTTAAATGTACTGGTGGTTAAATCAATGATTTGTTTTGGTCTGGTTCATCAACATTTAATTCAAAGTGAGTGTGGGACTATGTTTTTAACTGTTATATGTTTGTGTCTTTCAGGTTCCAGACTCCGAGAAATTGTTTGAGGACCTCCTTGAAGCGAAACAAAAGTTGGACTCTGAGAATTTGAATCTGGCTCATGAAAATGCCAGTTTAAGGATGGCCATGTCCTGCAAAGAAGCTACATGGCGGAARGAAAAGGAGAGCATGCAGAATGCAGACTTTGAAAGACTCAARGAGGAACTAGAGCTTGATCTAAAGGATGCCAAGAAGGAGTTGAGGATCCAAGAGAAGGAGTACAGGTCTTTGAGTACTCGTAATCAAAGCCAGCAGGCAGAGATCCACAAGATCAGACGTGACCTGAAGCAAAAGGGCAACCAGGTGAATGAGCTGGAGTACTCGATAAAACAGAGGGAACAGGTCATCGACAGGACTCTGCATGAGAAACAGGCACTGGACAAACAAATTGATGAGCTCACAACCGAGCTTAAAGCTATGGGGACAAAAGTTCCCCAGAACGAGCCTGACTGGCGCTCAGAAATCAAGGCTCTAAAGGACGAGCTCAGCCGTGAGCAGGCGGA